TTTATATAATGGAATATTACTCAGCTATAAAGAAAGATAAACTTGAGGCTTTTATAGGTAAATGGTCACAACTAGAGATCATACTCATAAGTGAAATAAATCAGACCTGCATGTGGAAGCACCACATTATCTCACTAGTGTGAAACCTGAAAGAGTGAATAAAAAGCAGGAGGTATGATAGACATTGTGAAATGAAAGGAAAATGCTCAAGGGTAAAGGGCAACTGGGATGTGGGAAAAGAGAAGGAAAAGGAGAAATTTTTTATGTATATGTATACAGGGTAGTTAACATAGTTGATCTACTGTTTTCTATTTCTTTGCTAAAAGAAACAGTTAATGATTCCTTGATTGATCAATATTGCATGTCTCTGTTTTCCTGAGAAACCACTTTGAAGATACCAATATGTAATACAACAAGCATTATTAATTTCCTACCACTTTGTTTGTAACTCTGCACTGTTTGTATTGTTCTTTTGCTATTCTGCAAATGGTTGTCTGTCTATTAATGCTTTCCTCCTTTTATTTTTAAAATAAAAAAATTTTTTAAAAAATCCTACCACTAAAAAAACAAAACTCCTTGATAAGGAAACATGAGAATTCCAAAATTCCTGTTTTATCTGTCTTTTCTCTTGATGGTAAGGAGTATGTATACCCATGGAGAGAAACAAGGAGAAAGACATGCAATGACCTTCAAACATTAAGCAAAAACTTACCCACTTGAGGGATCTAAGGCAATAGCTCTGGGTTGATCCAACTCTTGCCAAAACAAAACTTTTCGTAGAGATCCATCTAAATTAGAAACTTCAATTCGATTAGTTTCCGAATCTGTCCAATATAATTTTTCTCCAAGCCAATCACATGCCAGCCCATCAGGGGACAATAATCCAGAAACAACAACATTCTGAACACTCTCAGTTTTGTTAAATTCTGTTCGCTTAATAGCTTCTTCGCTGACATCACTCCAGTAGATCAAGCCATGACCAAAGACAAAGTCCACTGCAGCTGCATCCTCCAGGCCTCCAACTACTATTGTAGCATTCTCTTTGCCATTTGTAGCATCCACCAACCGCAAGTCCCGTCTGTTTGCATAAAGCAACAAAGGGGCCGCTGGAACAAAAAAAGGAAAGCATGTAAGTGAAAAGGAAAAAAAGTACTGATTCTTACAAATTGGGTTTCAAATCAGCATTAGTGAGCAAATACTACCAAAATCAAGAAAGGTGTAAATAAACCAATAGGGCAATGTCTAAAATCTTTTCATACACAAAATATTATTTTTATAGCACCTTAAAAACAAAATGAGGGGCAATTAATTTCACCCAGGACACTCTCTCCTTATTGAAAGAGTCTGTCAGAGAAAATTAAAAAGCTTAGCTATACTAAGAATGAGCAAGGATGCAGAGCCCTTAGAACATGCATAGTCAACAGAGCACCCACTTTGGAGAACAGCTAGCAATTATTAAAGGCTAAACACACTTAGCCATTGCACACCTAGTTATTAATGCAAAAGAAAAACAACAAAGCAATACAAAGACACACACACACGTATGTGTGGTGTGTGTGTGTGTTTGTGTATATATATATATATAGATACAGATATGTATATATATTTTCATATCAATTTACTTGTTCTAACCTAAACTGGAATATAATGAACAAACTAATGAATAAACAAATAGTAATATGTTGAAAAAATATGAATAGTTAACTATTTATACATGAAAAATGGATTAACCTTAAAATAATTCAGAGTGAAAGAAGCCAGACCAAAAGGAATATTACATGACTCCACCTATAGTAAACTGCAGAAAATGTAAACTAATCTACTATGACAGAAAGCAGATGGCTAGACTGACATGGAAACAGGGCAGAAAAGAACAGGAGGTAGAAATTATAAACGACTCTGGAAACTTTGTGTGTGATGGGCTGCAGTACCTCGATTATGATAACAGTTCCAGAGGTGTATACATGTCAAATTTATTTTAGCTGAGTGTGGGAGCACACAGTTCTAATCCCAGCACTCAGAAGGCTGAGGCAGGAAGATTGCCAGAAGTTCAGGGCCAGCCTGAACTACATACTGAGATCCTGTCTCAAAAAGCAGGGAGTAGCTCAGCAGCACAGTGCCTGCTTGGCAAGCATTTTTTTACAAAAGTACAATTTATTATATCTCAATAAAACTATTAAACAGTCTAACACAGCTAGATCTTCGCATCTTAACATAATATCTTAACTATTTTATTTTCTAGATTACAATACCCTTTACATACACCTCATACGAAAACTTAATATGAAGCCTACCTTCAAAAAAAAAACATGTAACTTTGAAGTTGAAGGTATTATTAGTACTAAAGTAGTACAAATCTTATGGGTTTTTTTGTTTTGTTTTGGCGTTTTGTTTTGTTTTGTTTTTGGTGTTTATTTTTTAATTCTCTATTCCATAGAGAACTCTGTTTCAGTTTTTAATTCTCTACTTACTTTTCTGGTAGCAAGTACCAACTAAAAATCTAAAAGCCAGGCAGGGTGACATAGACTGTGATTCCCAGCACTCTAGACACTGGATGAAGAAGATCAGAAGTTCGAAGTCAGCCTGGGCTACACAGCAAAAAACTGCCTCAAAAAATAAGTCAAAGAAAACCTTGAATGCCAGTCACTGTCCTACAGAACCTGCTGTGGAAAAATTGTGAAGAAGAGCACCAAGATAGCAGAGTGGTAAGCAGCACAGAAAGAGCTTCTTTGAGAGTTGCCATGCAGACACTGGAGTACAGAAGTGTAAGGAAGACAAGAAGGAGGGAAGTGGATCCTTCGGAAGAATCTGCGGCATGAACTGAAGCCCACAGAGAGAGGGAAGAGAGAAGCTTAACAAAGCCGGTAGCTGATGGTACCTTTTCCCTGAGACGGGTCTCACTGTGTGAGAGGAGCAGCTCAAACCTGTGGACACACAGTGAGTGCTGGCAACCCCAGAGGCCTCCATGGAGAGATGTACAGGAGAGGGGAGCAGCAGATATGAAAACAGCTGCACTAGCTGGTATGAGTGCTGAGGGCTCAGCCATTCCGCATAAGAAAGTCACTGGCCAGGAACCATCTTGGGGAGGGATCTATCCACTGAGCTCAGAGTGGCTGCTGGCCCCATCTAACGGCTCCCAGCTGGGCTCAGGCCCACAGAAGGTGAGTTGCCCACTGCAGGCTGAATGAGTCTGGTCTCAGCGAGAAGGTTCAGGCTCAATGAGATGACCCACTACCATGCTAAAAAGCTACTGCTGGGTTAATAGGCTAGATCAGCACAGATCAGGACTCTGTCTCCACATGTTGTCTACCACTGACAGCAGAGACAAACCTAGAAGTGGATTTTTTTCTTTTCTCTCTCTCTCACTTTTTGTTGTTGTGGTAGTAGTTTTGTTTATGTTTTGTGGGGTTTTTTCTCCTTCATTGTTTGATCTTGTTTTTATATGACTGTGAATGTGTTTTCTAGCCTCTTTGTGGTTGTGGTTCTGTTCTGTTCTTTTTATCTCTTCCTTGTCTCTTTCCCTCCAATTTTCTGCACCAGTTTCCCAAGTTACCGTGATCCTCCTTTGTTCTCCAGCCTTACTTCTAATCTCTTCCTGTTCTTCAACTTCTCTATTTTCTCCCTAACCCATTTTAAATTTTAACCTGAAGGCAGAATTGACATTTTAAGGACATGTACACTGCATATAATTTTCTGGTTTGTTTTAGATTTTCTTATACAACCACAAATCTAGTTCATATAGCTAAAGGTGGCAAGTTAATGGTTAGCTCAATTTATCATTTTCTAGGCTGTGTTTCATGCTATTGTCATTGTTGATGAGAGTAGTACTGTGGGCAAAAGTGACATAACTGTTCTAAACAGCTGTTCTTCCTGGTATTCCAAGACTGAGATTGACTAAGGGTCACTGAACATACTGTGGCACGGTGCCAGAGAACCAAGCGCTGGGGCAAACAGGCAGCAACTTCTCATCCCCAACAAATTAAAAGAGGAAGGGCTTTGCTACACACTCAAAACTCAAGGACCAGCTACACTTGGAAGATACCTTGGAGAAGCAGTCATTTCCTGGGGGTTCTAAATACAAGCAATAAAGCAACCTATGACAGGTAATTTACAAGTATCACCCCAGGAATTAAACTAAAAAAAAGAAAATGAGAAGACACTTAAATAAGATGAAATCTCAGACATTCAGTGCATCAAAGGCAAACCTAGGAGACAATGAGGTGGGACAATCCTCTCTGAAGTGGCCTCTCTGAAGTGGTAAGAACAAAGCAATTGAATGAGGCTCTACAAAAAAATCAAATCAGAAATTATTTTTCATATAATTGTAGAGATAGTGTCCACAATGAAAACCATGCTTAGTGACTCTAGAGCAGATACAGACAAAAAAAAAAAAAAAAAAAAGAGGAGCTTAAGAAAATTATGGAAGCCATGAATGCTCAGCATAGGAAAAAAATGGAATCCACAAGGCAGATTCAAGCAGATATCCAGGAGAATAAAAATTCCATTGAAAGTATCTATAGCAGATTAAGACAATGTGAGGATAGGATCTCAGATACAGAAGACAAGCTTGCGTTCAGTGATCATTAAAAGAAAGATTTCTTTAAAATAGCGAGGAACCATGAGAAATCAATACAGCAGCCACTAGGTGAGGCAAAGAACAGTAAGACTGATTGGCATCAATGAAAAAGCAGGAGATAGCACAAATGATATAAAAAAAACTGTTCACAGATGTCATAGCAGAAAACTTCTTTGGTAGAGAAAAAGAATTTGCCACACACACACATATATGAGGCATATAAACTCCAATTGGCCATCATCAAAAAAAATCTGCAGCCAGGTAATTCGCAGTCGAGATTCCAAAAATTCAACACAGGAATACAATCTTAAAAGCAATTAGGAAAAAGAAACAAATCACCTATGAAGGAATGTCCATCAGAATCACCACTGACTTCTCAGCACAAATCCTCAAGTTAAGAACAGCATTCAGTGAAGTATTTCAAGTTCTCAAGGAAAACAACCTTCAAACCAAATCAATGTACTCCACAACACTATCTTTCAAAACTGATGGAGAAATAAGATATTACATAACAAAGAACATCTGAGGAAATTTATGAAAACCAAACCAGCACTGCAAAATGTTTTGCAGGACATTCTAGACCTAGATAACAAGATTACAACTTCATGAACCCCAACAGAAGGAATTGACCAGGTAAGGCAAACAATTAAACAGAGAAAAGGGAAAAAAAAGAAAAGTAACATGACAAGGGTAAGTCAATACATACCAGTTATAAACATCAATGTTAACAGTCTCAATTCACCAATCAAAACACAGACTAGTAGAATGGATCAAGCAAAATTCAATAATATGCTACATACAAGAAACACATTTAACTAAAAAAAAAATTCATAGACTGAAAGTTAAAGGATGAAAAATAATACTCCATGTGACAGGAATCCAGAAAAATGCAGGGGAAGCTATTCTATTTGCAAAGTGAATTTCAAGCCAAGACTGATAAAGAAGGTCACTACATCTTTGCAAAGGGAACAATCCAAGAGGAAAAGATAACAATCATAAATATATAAGAAACAAATACCAGTGCACCCATCTATATAAAACAAATATTAACAGGCATAAAAAATCAAATAAGCATAATACAATTGTATTGGGGGATCTCAATACCCACTATCACAAAAAGACAGATCAACTACACACAAAATATCACAATGAACTACTAGAATTGAACCAAACTTTAGAATAAATGGACTTAGGAGATGTCTACAGAATGTTCCACCACACAACATCAGAATATACATTCTTTATAGGGGTAGGCAGAGAGTTCATGAACAAAAACCAAACTGCCCGTGAAACACTTCAAAGAATCAACAACTGGGATCTTATCCCACTGAAAAGTTTCTGCACATCTAAAGAAATCACCAGCTGAGTAAAAAGAAAACCCACAAACTGGGAAAAAATTTTAGCTGACTGTCCCTCGGATAAAGGACTTCTATCTAGAACATATAAAGAATTAAAAAACATCGGCCCCTCCAAAGTCAAAGACCCAATCCAAAAATGGGCAGCTGAGATGAATACACATTTCTCAGATAA